TAATAATAAATAAATAAATAAAATGCCTTTGCATAATCAATGAAACACAGACATTCTTCTGGTATTCTCTGCTTTCAGCTAAGATCCATCTAACATCAACTACAATATCCCTAGTACCACGACCCCTTCTAAACCCAGCCTGGACGTCTGGCAGTTCTCTGCTGATGTACTGTTCTAGTCGTTTTTGGATAATCTTCAGTAGAATCTTGCTTGCATGTGAAATCAATTACCTTTTATAAAACTAATAAAAATGGTTTTGGTGGATAAGTAGATAAGATAATAAATGGAGATCAGAAGGGGTGGCTTGAAGCATGGGAGTGCTTTCAATATAAAGTTATTTAACAACCTTGGCAAGTTTGCAGGGATTTGTGTTGAGAAGAAAGAACCGGGGAGAGTCGAAGTAGAATGAAGTCAGTTTTCCAGCCAAGAAGGGGAGGTTGGAATGCCTCTTGATTCAGCACCCACTTCTGAACCCCTGCCATGCACCCCATTGGTACTTTCCTCTTCAGGATTCCTTCTTACCCACTTTCTAATCGTCTGCTTTCCTCCTCTTCATCTTCCTCCTCAGGGACAATTGCCGTTGTTGCTGGTTGCCACCATGTCAGAGTACAGAGAATTGCTCCATAGTGTTTTCAAAAGCAGATAGTAGGCAGTTTTTGTGATGTGTAACCAATGGGTAGGGTCAACCATCAACCTTTCAAGCACTTAACCTCTTGACCACCCAGTTGCAAACCCGTCCCTGCTTCCTTCTCTGGGGTTCCATTCTATTCACTCTTGCCAGGCAATCCTACTGACCACTCAGCTTGCCACTTTGCTGGTGTTATTGTAAACAGAAAGCCTTGAATCAGTAGAAATTTGCTTGAAGACTCCTCTCCTTTTGACATAGTCAATCAATCAAAATAGTTTATTATAATTGGAAGAAAAAAATGATACAGGCCTTCTGTTAAGGGTGGTGGGGCAATTTGTAAATAATTGTGGTAGTGGTTAAAATCCAGGGACCTAGCCTAGTGGCTAAGAAAGTGTGCTGTCAACCCAAAGGCACGTGGTTTAAATTCACCAGCTGCTCTACTGGAGAAAGACGGTCAATCACTAGAGCAGGTTCCCAATTTGATGGCACATAACAATAACAACAACAACAAATAGAACATGTAAAAATATCCAACTGGTGTTTTGTTACATAAATCTTTACGACAATCCATGAAATGGTCAATATTATTTGCCAACACCACAATTCAAAGACATCAGTTCTTCATTGATCTTTGTTATCCATTGTCTACCTTTCATAAGATGATTGAAAATACATGTTTTGGGTCAGGTGCACCCTAGTCTTTAACTGAAACACTTATTCTTTAGCACTTTAAAGAGGTTTTGGCAATATATGTCCCCATTGCAACAGGTCCTTTGATCTCTTATTTTTTGTATTGTACAATATATTTTTTCATTTTTAATATTTTTTTCATTGTTGAACATTTTATTCTTCCCTTCTCCTATCCCCCTCCCCCAATCCACCCTAAAACATATTCCTTGTTCCAAATTGTTGTCATAAGTATAATGCCTAATCATATACTCCTTTCAGGCAATTCTTCCTTTTATCTGTTCTAATGCAGTGTTCTTTATCTATCCACTCTTTTCCCCTTATCTCCCTAACTCCCCCATATCTGTCCTATTTTAGAACAGCAGTGTTATACAGTGTTTGTCGTTTTGTGACTGAGATCTTCCACTCAGCATAATGTTCTCCAGGCTGCCTCATGTTGTGTAATGTTTTACAAGTTCCTTGTTTTTCAGTGCTGCATAATAATTCATTGTGTGAACGTACTCTAGTTTTTGTATCCATTTGGTTGTTGACGGGCACTTGAGTTGCTTCCATATCTTTGCTATTGTGAATAACACAGCAATAAACACAGCTGTGCGTACATCTGTTTGAGTCATGACTCTGGTTTCTTTAGGGTGTATTCCCAATAGCAGAATTGCTATTTCCAAATTTTTGAGAAAGCATCAGACTGCCTTCCATAGTAGTTGTAACATTGTACACCCCAATGCAGTGAATAAGTTCCAGTCTTTCCACAACTTCCCTAGCATTTGTTTTTTGTGGCCCTGTTGAACTTTGCTATTGTTCCTCAGGGCTCTTTAGCACTTAAAAGAGACTTTAGCAGTATATTTACCCTTTACGCACATCATCTGATATCTTGACTGCTGCTTCCATGGACTGTGAATCATGTAAAATGAAATTGTTGACAACATCAATCTTTTCTCCGTTTATCATTATGTCTATTAGTCCAGTTGCGATCATTTTTGTTTTCTTGATATTGAAATCTAAGACATGGGTTTTGTTTTACTTTAGTGCACGTAGAACCCTTAATGTTATTTTTAATGACACTCTTCTCACAGTTAGTAGTCTTACAAGTCTTGACAGAAGTCAATTGACTCTAGGTGTCCATACATTTATTTCAGAGCTCTCAATTTATTCCATTGTCCTTAAACTTTTTTTAAATGAAACAATATTTAAATGTATAGCCACTCAATGTTAAAATATTTTTATATAAGGACAAATGTGTTTCTTTGTAAAGTCAATCATAAGAACTCCTTTCAGTTTTTCCTATACAAACCACACCACATAAATAAGTACTTCTTTTAAGCAGAGCAATAATCTATAAGTGCTTGTAAAGAGTAACATCTGTCTAGATTTTTACAATCTCCCTCAAAATATTTAGAGTTGTCTTGCCTCCTCTTAAATTGCTAATCTTACACTGATTGTTTCAGTGATTCCTGTCTGTAAAGTGAAATAATATCCAGCTTCATTTTAAATAAAACCAGTATCTTTCTGTTTATGCTTATATTGCATCAGTTTCTTAATAAATTACATCATCACAATAACAAATACAACTATCATAAAGAGTTTTGAAAGGCTTCACAATTACTCGTGGTAAGCATAAGTCTCAGCTTGAGGACAACAAAGTACAAGGTGAGTCAGAAACAAGTCTCTTAGCTGTCTGTGTGTTTGGCATTCTGTGGGCACACCAGAGCTCTACATAGAAGAAGGAGAGCACCAGCTGTAGAGGAGAGCACCAGTGTAGAGGAGAATCAGTTGGTCATGTGTTGGTGGTTTAGTCTGTAGGGAGTTGTGCTGCTAATCCTACAGTAAGGCCTCTATGATGGCTCAAATCCCATGCAGCTTTATGGGAGACAGATGGGCAACTCCTCTCACTTAAGGGTCAGCTATGGGTTAGTTCTGACTGACAGCAAAGAATGAGTGAGTCAAGTGTAGATGAGTTAGAAGTCTATTGTAAAATAGACTTGGAGTCATAATCAACACATACAGAAATAACAGTCGAGAAATCTGCTGTCTTACAAAAATTTTTTTCAATACCGCATAATATTCCATTGTGTGAATGTACCACAGTAAGCAATGAATTCATAAAACACTACACAAGTTGGGAGAGGCTGGAAGACATTTTGCTGAGTGAAATATCTCAGTCGCAAAAGGACAGATACTT